CACTCTCTCTCTCTCTCTCTCTCTCTCTCTCTCTCTCTCACACACACACACACACACACACACACACAGACAGACACACACACACACACACACACACACGCACATACATACATTCTCCTGTCTATTGATGGGGGGCGCCACCTGCTGGAAACTGGGTCCAGCGTCCAATGAACATCGTGAATAAAGCACCAACCGGAACCCGAACACCCACTCTCTTCAAGTTGTGTATAGAGAACTTGACAAAACATACATACAGCGTAATCACTACCTTACCCTTCCCGAACCACATAAACAACGAACTACGGGCTGCGGCCCTCACGGTAAGTCAATACGTCCGAGATCCAGGGCTTCGAAGAAACCGTGCTACCCAAGGGAGGGAGAATCCCGACTAAGGGCGTACTCACACGAGCACTATCTCAAATGTATCTGACCGCATTCACCGACGAAGCTGGATGCATCTGGCCGCAATTCGGTCCCGCCTAAGTACAAAAGGTCCCAGTGTGAGTATGCCCTAAGTGGGCTTGAAACTGTTGGAGTGTGCTGATGGTGACTGGGAAGTTAGAAAGGCAACAGCGTATAGCTGCGGGACAATTGCTGGGTATTCCCGGCCTCAATTATCATTTGAAATATAAAGCGTAATTAAAAAAAAAAACAAAAAACATTTGATTTCGAAAAAAACAAGGAGCTACCGGTAGACGCTTGTGTCTGATAGCAACCCTTCGCTCCGGCCCGAGCGTGCGCAACTATTAAAGAGGAGCGCCGCCTTCACGCCACATGGCAGCGATCTTGGAGAAGGTCAACCCATGGCCCATGCGGTTACATTCCCGTTCTCTGCTCGACTACTGAATTTGATTGGACAATTCAGCCCTGGAATCGGCGCAGAGAACTGCATACCGTAATACCAGACAGGACCTCGCGCGATCCGTGGTACTCGCCTTCCGGCGAAGAGGGGCGTCCTGTGGAATCAATCGCGCGCGCCTTCCGTAGTCTTCCCGCCGTTGGGCGGGGTTTCGGGCTCGTCTGGGAAAGCGAGCACCGGCAGAGTGAAAAATAGTAGAAACCTATGAAAACAACCCACTGGAGCTAGTGAGGTGTGCGAGCACACGCGCTGTTGCTTCGCGCGCCAGATAGCACATCTCAGCGGTCAGCTTCCGCTCGACGTCGACTTCAATCCCAGCCTGGCGTAACCGCAATAGGTTGACTTTCGGACGGAATTAGCTCGCGAAGTGCAGCAAGTCTTCGCGAGTCCTTGCGAGTATTTGAGGTGGGTGGGCTATAATGTGTAGAAGTCGGTGAAGGCAAAGAGACTTGTGAATTCGATCGATTCTACGGTATAACTTCTGGTGTCTGCGTTGTGTCTTGCGAAGGCCTCGCGAAGTCTCCTCCACGTTACGCTCCATAACGCTTGCCCCCACTGCAGTCATCGCCAATGCACGTGCCAGTCGATTAACGGGAAGGCGGCCTGCCTCGATAGGTTTATCATCGTATCCTTAAGGCGCGGCGTCTCTCTCGTATTAGAGGCGTGCTAACTGTGACCGTCTTCATTGATCGGTGCTAGGCATAGTGCGCTTGCTATTCACTCGGAAGTCTGTCTGCACCCGGGACGGTGTTTTCTTCGTCGTAGTCCCACACATCGAAGATGGTAAGTGAATTGGCTTCGCTTGCTCTTGCATGTTACTCCTCAGGTACGATCTTTGCCAGCTCGTTGAGCGGTTGTTTGCGTGACTGTATACAGAACCCGTCCGTGTCTGGCGGGAAGTCTTGCAACTGTTATGTTCGTTCTCTCCCTTCGTCTCTCCCCTCTCTCTGAGTTAGTTCTCTCCTCCTTCTGTCCCTTCTCCCTCCTTGCCTTTCGTCTCCGAGAAAGCTTCTAAAGGATGTGCGGAAAGCAGTGTTGGCAGCAGTTTGCCACCATCTTCCTTTCCCCTTTCTCGCTCTTCCTTTCTCTCCTCCTCTCTCCTCCTCCTTACTCTCCTCTCTCTCCCGCCCTTCTCCATTTCTCCCCTCGCTCTTTATTCGATAGTTTTTCTTGGTCTCTGCTGATTTTTGTTCCTCACACTCCCTTTCTTCTCTCTCGGGTCTTGCTTTTTTCATCAGTGTGTTCCCTGTGTTACGTGCTCTCTCGTTGTTGTCTTCTTCTGTGACTGTCTTTCCTTCCCCTATGGGACTTACAGCTCGTTCTTCTCCTGGTCTTTCCATAGGTCCTCTCTCTGTCCGCCGTTCTGTCGTTCCTTCCCGTCGTTCGATCTCTTCCTCTGGCATCGCTCGGCTTCCTCCTTTCTGCCGCTCTGTCATCTCCTGACCAGTCGCTCGCTCTCCTCCGTTTCTCCCGCTCGATCATCTCGCCTCCTGTCCCTCGCGCTCTCTCGGGCCTCGACGAGCTGCCCTCTTCCTACGCTCGCTCTCATTCCTTCCCGTCGGTCTCTTTTCTCCCCCCTTACCCTCGCTCTCTCTTCACCTCCTCCATCGCTTTCCTCTGTTTCTCCGTGCCTCGCTCCCGTCGCTCGCGTTTCTCTTTTCTGCTGCTCGATCACCTCCCCTTCTGTCCCTCTCTCGCTCCGGGTTCGTTACTCTCCTTTCTTCTTGTCCTTCGCTTTTCTCCTCTGCCATAGCTCGCCTTCCTCCGTTTCTGCCGCTCGATCATCTCGCCTCGTGTCCCTCGCGCTCTGTCGGGCCTCCGTGAGCTGTCCTCCTCTCCTGATGCTCGCTCTCTTTCTTTTCCGTCGCGCTCTCCCCCCCCCACGGTCCATCGCTCTCTCTTCGCCTCGTCCATCGCTTTCCTTTCTGTCGCCGTCCCTCGCTCACCTTCTAGCCCTTCCCTCGCCTTCCTCCCTGTCTTCGCCTCGTCCATCGCGTTCCTCGCTGCCTGCCGCTCCGTCTCACCTATCCCACTCTTGTCGCTGCCGCCCTCCCCCTCGCCCTCCCATCCTCCAATTTACAGGAGATCAGATGAGCATGTTTGTTGTGTAGGTCGAATGTGCAACACATACACTTGAAGTGAGCACTCTCGCTCTACATCGTCTTGTCTCTCGCTCTGAACCTGATACACCTGAATTGAGCACTCGCTCTACGTCGTCTTGTCTCTCGCCCTACTCCCATCCCGTCCTTCGCTGGTCTACCCTCATCGCGTGGAGTTCCTCGCTCTCTCCCCGCAATCGGCTCACTTTGCATGCATTTGCGGGCTCTCCTATAGCGCAGTACCTCGCTTTTTTCCATTCGCTCCCGCTCCTTCTCCGCTTTCTCAATCTCTCTCGTCCCATTTTCATTCAGTTTCCCGTCTTCTAGTTTGCATATATTCTGTTTCGCCTCTCTTTTCTTCTCTCCCTTTCCTCGCTCTCTCTTCCTACGTTGTGAGATTTATGACCATTTTTTTGTTGTTTTCTCTCTTTTCTCGCTCTACATTCTCTCGTTCCCGCTGTTTTGACATTCCTTTTCGTTTCTGCGTTTTCCCCTCCCTCTCTTGCCTTCGTCATGTATCGCTTGTTTCCTTGGCCTCGACTTCTCCATTTCACTTTTTCCCGCTTCTCTTCTCGTTCATTGTTTCCCTCTTTCTTTTTGCGGATGCTTTCATTCTACTCTGGGCCCCACCTGCCGTAGGCTTTTACTGCCTTTCATTACTCCTATTTGCCCGGCAATTTCTCGTCTGTGTTCAGGGACTACCAGTAGGAATTTGGAGATGGTGTTATTTTTTGGTGCGGTGTGCTATCATGCAAATATTTTTTCATACTTGCTTTTCTCTTTTCATGCAAATATTCAATGCTTCCTTTTCTCTTTTCATGCTTCGTTTTCATGCAAATATTCATGCTTCCTTTTCTGGACATCTTTTGTTTTCGTCCCGGTTTTGCGTCCGTCAGCTGGGTTCGTTTCTCTTGTGAGGTCTAGTTCGACGTCTTGCTTTTGTTTTACCTTTCTTCTCCAACTGGGCCACTCTTTGCACGGAGGCTACCTGCACGCCTCGTGCTCTCCAGCCATAACGTCGATGAGCAGAAGGAACGCGCTTTTCCTCGTGGTTGGTAACGTTGGCCAGTTGCACTCGCAAATGTGAAACTTGGCTTTTGCCTTTTCGCGGCAAACATACTTCTTTCGCGTTAAACATTCGCGGTAAATCGAGATATTATTCTTCGTGCGTCCCTGTTAGTTCGCGTTTGGAACGCTGTCTGACTCAACGTCGCTGTCATTACTTTTGTGTCTGAAAGGCGACTTTCGCGTTTAAAGCGCTTTGGCCTCCTCTGCCTTCTGGCACGTGTGTTCCTTGGTGGGTGTTTCTGGAGCGTTGAGTGGCGAGGTAGAACCAGCGTTCTGAAGGTTTTCCTGCTGATGGTGTGTTTCCCCGAACACAACGCAACCTCATCATGCCTGTGTTGGACTCGAGATTCTGGTTGTATACATAGGGTGCGTGTGTTCGGGGAAAGACGGTGGTCCTCTGCTTATTCGTGCAGTGAAAGGGTTCAGATTACTGCGGACAGGTGCGTGAAAAGGCGGCCACCCTAAGCTAGTATCTAGTTTGAAGTGTGGTGTTTACACTCTTCGCTTATCGCTGGTGAGCTGACCGTGAAGGAAGGGGATAATGGCAGACAAGCGTTATGCTGGCACGCTGGCGCGCGAAGTAGTGACGCGATGAATTTGCGCGCGATGGGCTTATTCTAGAATGGATCAGAATAAGTAATTCAGCCTGAACTATGCAGTAGTGTAGGCTTTCTAGTATTTTGACTGTGCCTCAGCCTTAGCACTGGAGTTCTCACCACGTTTTGCGTCTAATGGGCGTCCGAATCTTGCTTCACAGCGAGATTCACAGAGATGTCAGGCATCTTTATATACTGGCAGACTGTATTGACTATATATTGTCACTTTAAGGGGGAGTTATAGGCATCTTTATATGCTGGCAGACTATATTGACTATATATTGTCGCTTTAAGGGGGAGCTAAAAGATATGTGATATTTGAAAATATATATTGGCCGGGAGTGAAAGGCGTCTTAGGAGTGCGACACTTGTTATCCGTGGTATATCTTGTATGCGCTTGTGCGTATAGGGGTAGTTGAAGTAAAGGCAATATATTTATAAGGGGAGTTAAGGAAAGGCAGCTTATACATGTAGGGGTAGCTAAGCAAAGGCAGCGAGCAATGCCGATTTTTTTCATGGCTGGCGGGTTTGACAGGACGGGGCGTGATAGTGACGGTGCCATGGAAGCGTCCGTGAGAAGAGGGTAACGTTACAGCGGCCTCTCGGGAAAGAGGGGGGCACGACGTTCAGACGAGGCGTGAAATTGATCGGGGAACCACGACGAGATGGCGGGTGAAAGTGATTTCGGGTATGACAGCGGTATGGTCTTTTAGAGGACGAGGGGCCGGCGATGGCGGGCATTGGGGAAGAAAGAGGAGCGGGGTGGTGGGGTTGCGGAGTTGAGAGGGTGAAGGGTGGGGGAGCGGAGAGAGGGGTGGCAAGATTATGGAGGTTAAGGGAAAGGTACGACCTCCTGGCGAGAAGATGGAGGGGCAAACCACGGCGACATGGCCGGTGAAGGGATGATGGCGGGGATTGAGGAAGAAAGAGCAGGGTGGGGATGGGGCTGTGTCTGAGGGGAGAAAGGGTGGGGGCGCGGGAGCTCGCGCCGAGCGGGGAGAGAGGAGGGAAGGTGATGGCGGTGAAGGGAAAGGTGCGACCTCCTGGCGTCGCGCCCAATCAAAAGGGTCAATATGTACCTCTTGTTTGGTAGCCGCCAACGACCGTCTGGACTCCCCGTCTAACCTTCTTACCCCGTTGTGCACTTCACTCGTCGCGGAGGATGGTGATGAAGTGAATTTAGGGCGACTGTGCCATGAGACGATGTCCGTCTGGAGTCAGGTGAACAGCGGGATGAGAGAGCTAGGCGGGGAGTAGAGACCGCTCGTTGGCGGCGACCAAGCAAGTGGTACATATTGACCCCTTGATGGGGGGTAAGAATGGAATTGGTTCGCAAGTTTTTCTCTTGCGCATTACCGAGAAGTTGTTCTATTGATAATTCGTGTTGATTGTGGATCTCTTTTCTTTCATGTTGAGCGACCGTTGTAGTTAGTTTGCTCCAGCTTGTAGCTGTACAGGCTGACGTCTTGCTGAATCGCTACGGTTCCCAGCGGCTTGAAAGACGAATTAACTCGGTATTTTATTTTATGTGGTCTTGTGTACACTCGATGGCACTCCTAGAGCGTATCTGATGATTGTTATGTCCAGATTGCCCTTTCAGCTGAATTGGCTTTCACCCGAAACTTCAGTACGAATTCTTTTTCCGAATCAGTGCCTAGAAAAAGGAAATTCCAATGAAAGGATTAGATGGGTCGACTTTCGTTTCTGTTCGACTTGTGGTGTTTGCTTCGCGAGAGTGGTGCATTAGCCGTGTGAGGCGTGCGCTTAGGACCCGTCTGCTGAGATGTACGTTATATAAAACTACTGTTTTAGCTAGCTACGGTGTTAGGTAGGAACCTGTGGCGGAGATATGGAATTAGTATCTGACCGTGTTGGAGACTGATGTTCTCTTGGCTGTTTCGTGTGCAGACGACTTCGACGAGACTGTTGAGCAGGAGGAGCGAGAAGTTCAGCAAGAATATTCTGAAAAGAGGCCAAGTGCAGGACTCTGCGGTAAGTTGTAGTCGACACACCTCCCCTTCCATTGACACAACGGTGCTGACGCAAAATTTCAGGATCAAGGGGTCTGAGGGGGGTTGAAATTAAAGGATCAAGGGGTCTGAGGGGTATGAAAGTACAGGATTAAGGGGTCTTGGGGGGGGGGGGGGAGAGGGGGAGGCTTGACGGAGGGCTGAGGTGGCAAGGCAGGGCGCCGTTGAGGAGGACGAAGAGGGTCCTGATGGCTGGGAAAGAAACTGCGGGAGAGGGGGCGGGAGTCATGAAAGCAGCAAGGAAGGGTGATGCGAGGACATCATGATGATGAGAAGCGATGCAGCAAGACGGGGTGATGATGATGATGATGATGAAGGTTTAGCAAAATATGGATTTGACTGAGAAAGGGTGATGAAAGAACATCGTGATGATGACAGGTGCCACTGAAGGTAGAATGAATAGGAAGAAGGTCTAGCGAAAATGAGTAAGGGAAGACAGGGATGATGTCTGACATGATGTGATGACAGATATGGCGTAGGTACTTGGAAATTGACGAAATATCGACGTAAATGGCGTCATAACGGGAGGATACTGATGGGGGAGGTTTTTTTTGATTGATGAAATACCTTTATGGTAGAGTGCAGTTTTGCCAAGGCGAAGGTTGAGATCCTTGGAGCTACCGGACCAAGAAAGGAATGGAACCGATGCCTGTCGCTGCGCTTCGTCGGCTTGGCTGCCTGGCTAAGAAATAACGGAAATGTTGTTGCTTTACGACGATGCTGTCTTTTCTTGTTGTGATGCTGAATTTCAACAACGCTGGATCTCTGGGATGAAATGATTGAATTGTAAAATTTCGGGACAGATTGACTTGAGGAGACCAGTCATTTCCAAGCCGAGATTGGTTTGAATGGAGCGCCTTGACGAATCGTTGGTCCGGAGTTGGCGAAACGTTGGTCCGGAGTTTGATATTTCTCAGGCTTCAGTTACTAGTCTGGAGTTGCATTGCTTTTCAGGCTTCAATCACTTATTATTCTAGCCTGCAAAGAATCATTTATCAGGCTTCAGTTACTTGTCTGAAGTTTGATCCTTTTTTCAAAGGCTTCAATTACTTATAATTTAAGCCTGCAAAAAATCAAACTCCGGACTCAACACTTCGTCGAGGCGAGGCGCTCCAAGCCAATCTGGGTTTGAAAACGAGTGGTCTCGGCCATTCTTTTCTTCGCCAGGCAGCGAAGCTGACAAAGAGTAGGAAAAAAGGGATTGACTGCTGACCTGACCGTAGCTTATTGGAAGATTACGTCGTTGTCCCAATCTGGGTTTGAAAACGAGTGGTCTCGGCCATTCTTTTCTTCGGCAGGCAGCGAAGCTGACAGAGAGTAGGAAAAAAGGGATTGATTCCGGACCTGACCGTAGCTTATTGGAAGATGTGGTGGTTATTTTTACGTCGTTGTCCCAATCTGGGTTTGAAAACGAGTGTTCTCGGCCATTGTTTTCTTCGCCAGGCAGCGAAGCTGACAAAGAGTAGGAAAAAAGGGATTGATTCCTGACCTGACTGTAGCTTATTGGAAGATGTGCCTACTTTTACGTCGTTGTCCCAAGTGGGAAAAAAGAAGGGAAAATTGTTGAAATACCCCTAGAAGTCGAGTTATCTCGTTAGATCCCCTAAAATACAGGGGTATGCGGAAATGCCCTCAACTTTTGCATCTGCACCTTTCCCGGTCATTGGCAACTTCTTCATATGCCCTGGGCCCAGGCTATAGGGGCCGGGACATTTTTTGTGTCATCTGCAGGGTCCAACAGCCAGAAATACTGGGACATATAGATAAGTTGCCGAGGGCCGGTCCAATTGGCGAGTGGGGTATTTTGCAAAGGTTTGCAGTCGTCAGGGGTATCTGACAAAATACGAACAATTTTGCCGTGAAGTGTTTTTGTTTTTATCTATTTTAAGCTTTTATGTTAGGTGGTAAGATTGCTAAGTATGTTGGTTTCACCGCTTTGGGTTGTCATCTCCTGGGCTTTTTTCTGCGTTTCCTGATTTCCTGCAGTCCAAGAAAGGCGAGAAGTACCCGGTCGGTCCTTTTGTGCTCGGGTTCTTCATCTTTGTAGTCGTTGGCTCCTCCCTGTTTCAGATCATCAGGACCGCTCAGACGGGAAGCTTGTGAGGACAGTTGGCCAGTTTGACGATAACCATGGATCCATCCGGCATTGCCCTTCTGTCCCGGAGGAAGAAGCGTAAAGGGAGAGGAGGAGGCCGGGGGGGGAGTAGGGATGTGGGAGGACTGTAATGAGAGAGAAGCAGAATAATGTTCAGGGGAAACTCTTAGCGAGTGATGCTGCCGCTGCGGTTGCTGCGCTGGAGATGGTGGTTAGCACTGTGTGCGTTACGTGACTAATGTTTACGTGTGACCCAATGGAGGTGGGAGGAGCAGCGATCTGCACTTCTTATTGTCTAATAATTGGGTTCAGTATAGCCCCAAATTCTCGCGTTTTCCTCCGGGGACAACCCTACCTGGGGAACATGCATATGCTTGCACGTTGGTACGTACAGCAGCATGAAGAATGCCGTTGTATTATATCAGTGATGGATGTGCAGTGAGCCCACTCCTTACCCTATCATTTTTGGCGCAACTTTTTGTTTTGGTCATTACTCGTAACCGTCAATGGGAGAGACGCAAATGGAGGTGGTGAAGGTGAAACCTACAGAGAATCCTCATAAGGGACAGACGAGGGAAAGGTGCATTGTGAGAGAGCCTGTCGGAGAAGGTGTGGGCGTAAATGCAGACACACACGCACACTCACACACACACACACTCACACAGACATGCACACACACACACATACACACACACACACACACACACACACACACACACAGAGAGAGAGAGAGAGAGAGAGAGAGAGAGAGAGAGAGAGAGAGAGAGAGTCTTGGTTGTGTTTGCAGGACGGCCAAGTTTTAAGCTGAGCAGGCGATGTGTGTTAGGTGAGCTTGGTGGTTTGCTGGCGGGGTTTGCGGTTGGAACTGGGTAAAAGGGTATTCGCCCTATCATGGGAGCAACGTGCAAGAGACACCCGTTTTTTTGTTCGTACGGAACCTTGACCTAATCCGTTCTGATATTATGTAGATACATATATATCGTATATATATATATATATATCTGGACTTCGAGTGTCTTCTGTTGATTTTAGAGTTTGATTGACCAAGCAGTGGTGTTTTTTCTTGCTCCTACACCCCTATGCTGTCCAAGGTTTCTGCGGTCGCCTCTCTCCTGTTGAGCCCTGTGTGCAAATGCTTCGGTCTGTGGAAAAGGGAAAGATAATCTGCATAGGGACAAATACATCAACAGACCTAGTCTGTTTAGGGGACAAATACATCAACAAACCTAGTCTGTTTAGGGACGAATTCGTAAACTATCTGTTAGTGTTATTACATTCATCTGATTCCATCAGGATTCGAGCTCACAAGCTGTTTGCTCACGGTTACATGTGTGAGCCACTCAGCCGCATGGAGTGGCTTGATCCCTCGGTCTGTGAAAATGCTTAGTCTGGTTAGGGACAACTATGAAAACGGTCGGCTCAGTTTTGGAAATGGAAACATCAACAGGCCTAGTGCAGCTGCTACACCCGTGAACTGCTGAAATACGATGTGGGAATCCAGATGGAATTAGAGTTACTAGATGAATCACATTCCCGAATTACCTGAGGCTGGTCAGCTTGATGATGATTACTCAAGGCCGTTGCCCTTTCCCCCCCCCCCCCCCCCCCCACACAAAAAAAAAACCAGCCCGGTCAGGATGCAGCTGGATATGAAAGATGCGAAGGCGCATGATGTGCACCTGATATGCTGACAAGACCAGATGCATTTTGACAGGGTTAATCTTGTATTCTTGGACATGAAGGGGCTGTGTTTGTCCTGCACACTGGTCGATATTTTTGCTACCATGCCGATGGATGTTTTTTTGTTTTTTTTTTTTGTTTTGCTTTCTAATCATAGCAACCGATGCATCTTGCCACTTTCTGTGGAAAGGGAATCTGTTATTATTATTATTACCCTTGGATGTTTCTGGTTTTATGCTATTATTATTGCTTTTCGAGTACGCGTCAACAGGTCTGAGCGAAAAAGAAAATGTGGGAGAAACAATGCGCCTTGGTTCTGTGTCCAAAACCAGATAAAGGTACATGCATGTACGTTACTGGGGAGGGGGAGAGAAAGAAGGGAGAAAGGTTGTGCCTTAACGGGAAGGAGGAGAGAGAAGGGAGAAATGTGATATATGAGTCTGAATGCTATACGCGGAAATGTAGAGCCTGATGAATGGATGTGTTGAAAAGTAGGAATGAAGCGCAATAGGCTCTGGAGCCTTTCCTCTGCAGAAAAATGAAATGCACAACAGGTTGTCATGTTGGAGGCAGGTATTCAAGAGAGTGACTCCCGTTTCTTTCTTGCCAAACCAGGAAGCAGCACTCCTATGCCAAGCAAGAGGTAGGGACAGGAAGTAGGTCTCTCTTCTCCTTTCCCCCTTTCCCTCAAAACTTTGAAGTGATGATCTATATAGCTCTCCTATAGGCAGATTGGGATACCTGCAGAAAGGTTCTGCGGCTTTCCTATAGAAAGTAGTGAGGGTGCAGGATTTGGTTTTACAGTACCAAGTCATATGTGGCAGGCCCTGCTATAGAAAGTAGTGACGGTGGAGGATTTGTTTTTTTTTTGTAGTACCAAGTTGTGTGTGCCATGGCTTTGCTTAGGGCGCAGCGGATATAGCTGTACATAGATGGTAGGAAGTTCACCACAGAGGGCGGAAGGAAGAGAAGAAGAAAAAACAGGGTGCAGATAGCAATAGAGAGGTGTCAGTGCGCATATGGAGTCGCTTTTCAAGTTGCCACGAACCATCGTATGAACAGAAAACCCGTGTCTAATGAGAGACTGGGCCTAGCTCTGCTACTCACCACATGGACAACATACAAAAAATGTGTATATTTTTACGTCTCGGGGAAGATTCGTTCTCATTTGCGTATTTGGCGAGTAGTGGAGCGAGGCCCGGTATGTGAGTTGACACAGTGCACAGCTGAGAAGTGCAGTTGGAGATAAAAACGCAGGTTGGCACATACGCATTCAGATGGAATCCCAGTGCAGATACCAAGTAAAGACTGCCGTCCGCAGTGGTTTGCATGCTATACCATTGATCATCTCCTCTCCTATGACAGCAGCCCAGCGCCCTCTCTCTCTCTCTCTCTCTCTCTCTCTCTCTCTCTCTCTCTGTCTCTGATCATCTCCTCTCCTATGACAACAGCCCAGCTCTCTCTCTCTCTCTCTCTGTCTCTGATCATCTCCTCTCCTACGACAGCAGCCCAGCTCTCTCTCTCTCTCTCTCTCTCTCTCTGTCTGTCTCTGATCATCTCCTCTCCTATGACAGCAGCCCAGCTCTCTCTCTCTCTCTCTCTCTCTCTCTCTCTCTCTCTCTCTCTCTCTCTCTCTCACACCCCCTGTCTCTCTCTCTCTGTCTGTCTGTCTCTGATCATCTCTTCTCCTATGACAGCAGCCCAGCTCTCTCTCTCTCTCTCTCTGGGCTGATGAAAACCCTTCCCCAGCTCGAAGAATGAAAGAGGATTCCTAAAAAAAATCCCGACTCCCAAGTACTTGGAAAACACAGCACATATGGACTCGCAAAGCACAACTAAAGAACGATTTTTTTTCTTTTTTTTTTCTTTTCTTTTTTTTTTTGGACAAACACCCCTTCCAGTGCTAGTGCTGCTGATAAGAGCAGACAGCACTATCGCCGGAGGAGAGGCTCCATCTATTGGTGGGGAGCGTCACCTGCTGGAAATCGGGTCCAGCGTCCCATTTTACAGAAAAAGGAATAGTTTAGAAAAAACTGGAACCAATGACTGTGAGTAGCTGTGGGACCTGCCAGCATTCATTGCCCGGCAGAATCAGGGGATTAACTGAGCAGGCTTATGTGAGAGCCAAGAGTGCATGTAAGAGAACGGCTGTTGCCTGCCAGCATCGATTGCCCTGCAGAGCAGGGGATTTACTGAGCAGACCTGTATAGACCTTGGAGAAATGCTGTTGCCTTTGTATCTCTTCACCCTCAGAGGGAAGGCGCCGGATAGGAAAATAGGGACTGATACTGACCGGCTGCTTGCTCCAAACCCAGCCTGCTGACTGCAAATGCGGACTGCTTTTGTTAAGTGTGGAGTTCCGGGATTGACTGGGATTGACTGAGCAGGGCCTTATGAGAAGGGCCTTCCTTCTGCCAAGGATCCCCTCCTCCATACCACTGCTCCCCTACTGTAGCTAGAGCTGGTGGTGGAAAGAGGTCGGGGAAGTCTGAAGCAGGGCGCCAAGGGATGTCCTGATGGATATCTGTCCATTCTTGAAAAAGAAGCTGGTAGTTCCTGCCTCTTTGTCCCACAATTTCTCCCCCCCCTACTGCTTCCCCTTTCCCCTCCCATCGAATATTTGCAATGGGCTTTTCCCCTGGGTCCCCCCCAGCCAATCCTTGCTGAATTGTTGGATGTGTTTCTTGATTTCTGTTTTAGTATGTAGGGTTACTAATTTTTCTTTTACTTTTTCCCATTGAATAGTAATTTCAGCTTGCACATACAGTCTAATTTCTTCCTGTAGGATTTGGCCATCCAGTCTTACTGCCTCCATGTCATGAACACAATGTCTCCTCCATAGCGTCCATGATCTTCGTGCGCTGGGTGGTGCCTGGGTGATATAACGTGCGTGGGTTGGATGGTACCATGCCGTTCAACTGTGCAATGTTCATCCGCATGGGCCTGGTGTGTATTTTTGTCTGAGGACGTAAGTCCTCAATTCGAGTACAGCTCGGTGGAATCAAAGGCCAAATAACAGATGCAAGGCCCTGTGTGGGAAAACGAGCGACATGTTGACTGATGTTTTCATTTGTCTTGTTCCTCCGTGGAGGTGAGGTGCATAACTGTATTTGAAGCACTCTGCGTATTCGATTCGATTTCGAACACAGGTTGGTGAAAAAGGTGGTGGCAAATGCCAACCCTGCATTAACAGTTGTATGTGTGAAAATAAACATTAATGATATTACTTTTAATATCAAATTAATTAATATTAGACATCATAGGGAATTCTGAAGATGAAGAAGAAAGCTATATATTATACCCTCGTGGAATTAGAGTAGGAGATACGGTAAGCTCTAGCATGGATGCATCTATTTTTGTAGGTACTACCTTACCTCCAAGTGCGCTATGAAATTTTAATTTATGTATTTGAAGAACCCTAAAAATGAAGATGAAGTGGCCGCTACACTCTTCTCTGGCCATGGTAATAAATATAAGCACTGCCAGGTTGTAACAGCATCCATGGAACTCTTGCCTACAGCCAAGGTGGGGTTGCAACAACGACCTATTGGCCCCACACCCTCAGAAAAGACTCAGATTGGGACCTTCCGAGATACATCTGATCGCATGAGTAGCCACATTGATACCAAAATTCTTTGACCAACCTCGTTAAAACCACCAGTACCTCGATCAGCTATTGAGTCCGAGCCTCCCAGCACGCTGCGCGCCAAGTCCTGCCGAACTGCCGTTGCAATTTTCTTTTTCGTTTTGCCTGCGGCCTCCAGCCAATGTGGTCCGGCAGGCCGAAGCCCAAATGGCACGGCGCGTATACGGGAAGCGCCGCGGCCTATAGCTGGGCCAGGTACTGGTGGTTTAATAGCCCCAAATAGTCTCCTCTTGTGTCTTGCGGGGCGGGGTCCTGCCGAGCCCACTGGTATGTTGCTGGTTGGTGCTGCGCAAATGTATTTTTGGCACCGGTGCCCTGAATGCCTAAAATACGCACAATCACGCACCCACTGCTGACGACAGTGTGGGTGGACCGGTGGGATTGGCGGAGTGTGGTTGGCTGCTTTTTGCGAAATGCTGAGTGTGCCAACTTTGTCGATTTTTGTGTGCAGAATGGGTGAGTAATCTGAAAAAAAAAAAAAGGAAAAGGGAGACACAGATCAAGTGCTGTTCTGTTTGTGAGACGAAAAAAAACCTTGATGGCGAAAAGCATGCATTTTTCCTCCCAACAGGTAGGGGAAGACCCACACCTTGGTGGTTTGGTGGGTCAACCTCAGAAAAAAAAGGAAGTGCTGGTTCGTTAGAAAAGTGTCAGGGCAGTGGCCACTTAAGAAGGGGCTAGATGAAGTGATAAGGCAACTTCCGTTCATTTTTTGTCGTCGTTAAATTTTGTTCCTTTTTTGCCATTGTCAAAATTTGTTCATTTTTTGTTGAATGCGGTAAGAAAAATAAAAAGGCTTAATGGTGTGAAAATGAAATGCGAGGGGTCAAAAATAAAAATAAAAACATTTTTTGTTGAATACGGTAAGAAGAACAAAAAGGCTTAATGGTGCGAAAATGAAATTCGAGGGGTCAAAAAAAAAAAAAAAAAAAAACGCGAGGGGTCCATGCTGCTGAATGTGCTGTGTTCGTGCAGAATTTTGGCATGTGAGTCCTGCGCCTATGCCCCCTCGTCTCCACTGAGCCTGCCGAGATCATCGAAGAGGCTGTTCGTCAACCGATACACGAGCTCATCATACTCCACAGGGCAAATGGACCTTGCCTAAGACTACGAGTCATAATACCGTCTTTACCTGAAGCCGTTCAGCTCAATGATGATATCTCAAGACGCAGTCGTCCTTCCTAAAGAAATAAAAAGA